AGACCCAGTGAAAAATAGTCCCTGCCCTAGACTCTAATACTTACTTGTGAGGACATGCTCCGTGTCCCCTTTTAGCTTTGCACCCTGAGAGCCCAGTAGGTTTTTCAACAAGTGTTTGCTGAATGGAATACAATTGAATACAATGCTGTTTGCGGGACAGCTACAAAGCAAATTACAAGGTGGCTAGTCTGAGAGACAAAGTTGTTACCCACCAGGGGATCAGGGAAGGCTTCCTGGAGGAGGAGACTTTTGAGTTGGGTCTTAAAGTATGGGTAGGAATTCAGTAAGTAAAAAGAGGGAGAAGAAGGGTGTTTGAGGCATGAGGACCTGTCTGAGCAAAGGGATATGGAGATGCGGTGCATTCCAGGGACATGGGGAACAGTCTGGTCTGTATACATGGTCACAAACACAGAAATATAAACTCTCACAGCTGAAAAGCCCCTCAGAAGCCATCTAATCCAACCCACACTGAACACACGGGGCTAAAATCTGCCTCTTTGTAGCATCTCCCTAATGTCCTTAGTGTTGACTTCTGGAGTCAAAAAAACAAACATAATCCTCGTTCTGGGTGATAACTCTTGGCATTCTTGAAGACAGGTGAAGCTAGAAAAATGCACCATGTTATGGAGGGCCTTGAGTACCAGAGGTTGGCCTAGCAGGCAGGCAGCTAGCCTTCATTCTGTAAAAATGGTTGGAAAACCACTAACTTCAAATTTAGGTCAGTAGCATCTTTTGCCAAGGACAGATTCAGCTCTTTGAAATGAATGCCTCCTAACAGCCTCCTTCTACATATCTGCTAACTCTCAGGAGTTGGAACCATTGTTTTTCAGACAAAGAAAAAAAATTTTCAAAAGTTTTCAGAGAGACAAAATTTTCCAATGTTAACTCTGCCCATAGGAGGCCCTTTAAAAGTGTTCATGGAGTTGAATTGAATGGTAAGACTGAACTCAATTTCAAGTGGATTTTATTCACCGTGTAAAAACTCCCAGGGAATATTTTCTCAGTTTGGGGCTCTCAGCCATCCCACATGCTTTTCTATCTAGGATGACATCGTCCATGGCTTCCCGGGCCATCACCAGTCATCTTGACTTTTTGTCTTGGACAATATCATCCAAGTGATAGAAAAAAGAGTCGGATTGTTGAGAGGTCAGATCAAAGGGCGAGGTCCTCTGTCCACAGGCCCAGTGATGAAGGGGAATACACACTGATTACAGAGTGCCCCCCACCCTGAAGCTGGATTCTTCAGACCAAACCTATTAAGTGAGGGGTAGTTGGTGTTGTTTTATTTTTGGTTTTGGCCAAGGTAACCTGAGTAGGCTTTTCCAGAGCTCTGTAGATCCAGAATTAAAATCAAAAGGCAGGATTTTAGGAACTAGGAAATGCTGTCAATTGAGCATAGCTTATTGGTCAGCCCGGAGAAATACGTACCACTTGTTTTGTATAGAATGTAAGTTTCTTGGGAAAACAAAAGCTTCCACTTATGTCTTTGTATCCCCAGTAGTCTGGCATGGTGCCAGGCTTATGGTAGTCACTTATTGATAAATTAGTACCATTTCTGAAGCAGCTTTCTCCAGAATGTAGCCATTCAGAATTTGGTGTAGCAATATAGGGCCGGGATACCTGTTACCCAAAATAACAGGGCCACTGCTTTCTTCTGATGATGTATGCCTGGTCTTCTGTAGGTATTATGTATTCTATCCTAGATGTCTGTTGGTTTCTAGGTGGTTTACTGAGCTACCCTGTGTTATTATCTGAAGTCATGAGCTACTCCATCTCTTCCAGCCAACTGATGCTCCCATCTCATGGATAGTTGTTGGTAAACCTCTCCCTTACAAGGAAAGGTTTAGCTTTCATAGGCTGAAAAACCTCAGGATAAGTTACAGCCATACTCAGTCAAACAGCAGGAAGAGTCAACAGAAGCCACCCAGCTATGATTAAGTCTGTCTTTTAGATGATTCCTCTACTCTGATTCAAAGTCCTTGGCTCCTGCCAACTATCTGACTTGGGGTTAGAAAATGCATTATAACTTGTGACAAATCTGTGACTATCAGTCTGTGTTCCCTTAACCCATTTTAGAGATTCTGCTGAACACAATTGCAAACGTACTGCATGGGGCTAAGGAGTCGAGGCTGTTCCAGAGAATATGAAAGAAGAGGTAAAAGTGGAAAGTGTAGAAATTCTAGGACAGAGTGAGCAGATCCCAAGTACCTGAGTATTCCTGATGTGAACCTTTTAAAAAGTGTTTTGGAAAACAAATACAAAGAAAAAGCACTCATGCTACTGCTGGTGGTCTAAGAGAGGGGATAGTAGAAGAAAGACATGTGGGAAGAAGGTGAAGGAGTGGGAAGAGAGAAGAGAGAAGGAGAAGAGTAAGGAAAGAGAGAAAGTGAAAGGGGCAGAAGAGAAAGAAGAGAGAAAAAGAGATTAAATAGAAAAAGATAAAGAGACAAAAAAGGAGGAAAGAAAGAAGGAAAAAGAAAGGTTGTGTGTGTTGTGTGTGTGTAAGAAAGAGAGAGAGAGAGAGAGAGAAAGAAAGAGAGAGAGAGAGAGAGACTGGAAAAAGCAGAAAGGTATTAATCTGTATTAGGACTTACTCCCAAGGCAACTTTAATCGGTTCTTAAATAGAAAGTCAACAAACTTTTCAAGGATTAATAGGACTTTTTTTTCCTTTTCAAGGAGACAGTTAATTTCAATTACTTCCATTTTTGAAGCTAAGATGTTTGTTCCTCCACCACTGATACTCCCAGGCAGTCCTATTCAGAATTTCAGATTCACACGATGTCAGAATTGCAAGGGAACTCAGAGGCTGCCTAATTGTATTGTCAGAAATTATTTTTCTCAATATTCTTTTATTCAAATGAATATATTCCTGAAGTGAGTCTCGGAAATAGTTAATGAGCTGAGCAGCAAAGCAGATAGGCCCATCAAGTTGGAATGAGGGTAAGCTGCATGTTATCTCGTGCCTTGACCTGCACCAATTTCTAAAGAGCTGTTGAGAGCATCCTCTGCCTTGCAGCTTGGCTCCAAGTGACCAGGGACAATGGTTCTCCCTCCTAATCAGCTCAGAGTCGAGATAGGTGGCAGAGTGTGGGCCTGGTGGCTGAGGCCCTGGAGAAGGGAGAAAGGAATGAATGAGGAGCTGATGTGTCCCCTTTTCCCTGCCTCCTTCCCCACACCTGCCCTGGAGGGGCAGCCTCCTGGCACCTGTGTGCCCCGTGACCTCTGAGCACAGAACAAAGCGGGGAATTCAGCAGCATTGCCACCGCCTGTTTCTTCAGGGCACCTTCTTTTTCATCGCCACGTTGACACAGGTTCAGGTTTGCATCTCTTCCCTTTGTCCCTGGCTGATCTCGCCAATGATTCCACCAGCAGTCTGTCCCCCTGCTCCGGCAGAAATTGATGAGTTGATGCTTGGAATTTCTCCAGCCTCTTTTTTCATTCCTTCCCCTCCCACTGGACTCTTCTGAGATTATCAAGTGCTTTTTTTCCCCCACTCAGCTTTTCAACTCAGAGTAATTTCTGGGAAATCCAATCTATGTTTATGATTCATTTCTGCCGGAATAATCAGGGTGCTATTAGGATGGCTCTGTGTGAGAGGAAAGATGTCACTTCCTGGACAGTCTCTGCTCCAGCCCAGTTCTCCCCATGAGGTAAAAAGGAGACAGAATCCAGGGCCCTTGGTGAGTGAATGTCCACGCTTTCCTTGGAAGAGTTTTGAAAAATTCACTTTGATGGGGATTAGGGAGGAATAAGTCATTAGGCAGCGCCCCCTGCAAATGCACAGCTGCAACTCAACTTGCTTATCTCCGTATATCACCACACCATTTTTCTGACATCCAATTCATAGCCAGGCTCCATTTCTGTGAGGTGGTGCAGTAGATTGCAGTGTCGAACCAGGAGCTGAAAGAGCTCAGTTCAAATTCTTCTTTAGACATTTATTAGCTATGTGACCCTGAGCTTAACTTCAGTTTCATCATCTGTAAAGTGGGGCTAATAATTGCACCTACCTCATAGGGTTAGTATAAAGATCTAGTGAGATAATGCGTCAAGTGCTTTACATGCCGTAACATGCTACATAAATGCTTGTTGTTTGTTATCGTTTAGCTGTGTCAGACTCTTTGTGACTCCATTTAGGGTTTTCTTGGCAAAGATACTGGAGTGTTTTGCCAATTCCTTCTCCAGCTCATTTGACAGATAAAGAAACTGAGGCAAACAGGGTTAAGTGACTGGCCCAGGGTCACACATCCAGTGTCTGAGGCTGGATTTGAACTCAGGAAGATGAGCGCTCTTGATTCCAATCCCAGCACTCTGTGCACTATGGTGCCACCTAGCGCCCCATACAAATACATGCTAGCTGTTATTCTCTTCGTTTTGTGTAATATCAAGGAACTTGGGTCTGAGTCCCACCTGCAACACATCCTGTTTGTGTGACTGGGCAGGCCACCGAAGTTCTCACTACTGTAGTAGAGGGATGATAATAATGATAGCACCCACTCCACAGGTTGTTATGAGAGACTCATTAGCCGCAACAGAAACGATCTGAGGTTCAGAGAAATCACACGCCTCCTCTGAAGCAGCGTGCTTCTCTTGCAAGAAGACTGCATTTAGATTCGAGGACCCAAAGTCAAACCCTGACATTTACTGGCTGTGTACCTGGGGCCGAGTCCCTTCCTCACTGTCAGACTTCTTTCTCTCATCTGTAAACTGGGAGGAATTGTCCTGACAGAGAGGTGCAGAATAGGATGTACACGTATTGTTAACGTGGCCAACGTGGGAATTTGTCTTGCTTAACTGTACGTATTTATGTACAGAGTTTTGTTTTTTCTTTCTTTTTTTGATGGAGAGAGATTAGAAGGGAGAGATTTTGTTCATTAAAAGAATTGAATGAAATTAAGCCTAAACATTAATTAATTAAAAAGAAAGAAATATAAAAATAAAATAAGAAGAGGGGGTTTGGGCTAGGACATTCTCCAGTATGATCTAGCCCAAAAAGGCATGAATGGGTGGCTATCTTCGTTCATCAGTGGAAGGAGTACCTGGGGCCGTGAGAGGAGAGACCCTACCCTGGGAGCAAACAAAGGCCGTTGGCGATGTGTTTGTTGGCCCACTTTCGTTCTCAGTAAATGGAGAGCTGGTTGCAGCTGAAAAAGCAGAGGATGCTGTCATGTGGAAGGTGGGGGCACTGGCTTTCTGACGGCTTGGCTCCATGCCCCGTCCTGCTCAAAAGAGGTGAGGGAAAGAAGCAGAGGAACAGTCGCGGCAGAGACAGCCCGCTCTCTTTCCATCTGGCCTGCGTTCACAGCAGATGGAGCGAAGGAGCCAGCCCTCAGCTCTGTCTCCATCTCTGTCCCGTGTTATTTGAATGCTCTGTTCAGATGGAAACCTCATGGCTACGGAAACTGTGTATGGTCTACACCCTGTGCCAGAGGACATTGTGAGCTCTTTAATCTGGGCTGAGGAACCATCAGCAGCCTTTCACAACCCAACCAACAGGAAGGGGAGGGGATGGAGGAAGGAGATGCTATTTAAATAAGTTTTTGTGGTCCGTGCAAGTTAGGTCTGCTCTTATCAACTGTCATAAACCAGCATCTTTAACTTAAATGGGTAGAACCATAAGGTGAATCTTGGGTGGGGGAGAGGAACAACACCTGAGATTCATCTAATTGTATTGAGGGATGTGGGATTTTTGATAACTATGGCTTCCTTTATCATGAATAGCAAAGCTCAAATGTTGCAAGGTGATTGACTAAGGTCTCAAGGACAGAAATCTCATGTAGTCCTGCATCATTACACTCAGACAGACAGAAAGATGGACACACAGAGAGAATGACAGAAGCTTCAAAGACCAGGCCCCTTGACTCAGAAGAGAAGGGAACCATAGATAGAGAAAACCAGAGTGACAGAGAACATACCCATGAGAACCACCCTAACTCCAGAGGAATGCCACCACCCCCTGACCCCTTGGAGATGGGAACATGTGGAAAAGGCTCTAACCCCTTTCTCTATCTCAATGAAAAACAGCACAGCCTCTAACACTGGTGGTCTATCCAAAGATGGATGGGGGCCTATGTTGAACCTTGGGTTAGGGCTTAAGTGCTGAACAAGGAGCCAAGATGGCAGAGTAAAAGCAGTGACTTGCTTGAGCTCTCCTCCAAACCCTCCAATGCCTGTAAAAAAATGGCTCTAAACAAATTTTAGAGCAGCAGAACCCACAAAAAAAAAAGAGTGAAACAAATTTCCAAGCCAAGACAAGCTGGATGGTTGATTGGAAAGATCTATTGTGCCAGGCTGGGAAAAGAACACACAGTTCAGCGTGGGCATGCAGGAAGAGACCAGGCCTCAGCGAACCTGGAGTAGGCCTCAGGGGACTGAATCATGGGCACATGGGGTGGTTTCCACACTTCTCCACCCACAAATGCCAAAGACAACTTAGAAGGTCAGTAGGAAAGTTCTGTGACTGCGGTGAGAGAGAAGCCCGATCCCAGCCCCAGTCCCAGTCCAGCCTCAGGATGGCAGCTGCTTCCAGAACTCTCGGCCCACAGACAGTGGGGGAATCGAGCAGCTGATCAGAAGGGGATTGCAGGGATCTTTTTGCTGGTGCTGAGGCAGGATTCTCTTACTTCGCCCATGCTTGGATCTCGGTTGTAGTTCTGGGTGTCAGTTCTGGGGCGAAGAGGGGCGCTGGCATGGTGGAGCTTGTAGTGGCGATGCAGAGAGAATCCTCCTCACAGTTCCAAGGCAGAAAAGAGTGCTCGTGATCACTCATAGACCGGAGCACAGTCCAGGAAAGGAGTAAACTCCTCACTCTTGATTGTACCACCTTGGAAGAACTGAAAATTTATGGGTCCCTAGAAGTATCTCTGAAAACAGATGCACAAAACCCCCAAAGATTGGGACAGTACATTCTCCACACTGGAAGCAGACCCTTCCCTTAACAAAGAGTTTAAAACTCAAGTAATTGGCTGAGATCATGAGCAAACTGCACAAAAAAGTCAGATTATAGAATCTTTCTTTGGTGACAAAGAAGATCAAAACATACAACCAGAAGAAGACAACAAAGTCAAAGCTCCTACATCCAAAGCCTGCAAGAAAAATATGAATCAGTCCCAGGGCATGGAAGAGCTCAAAAAGGATTTTGAGAAGGAAGTAAGAGAAGTAGAGGAAAAACTGGGAAGAGAAATGAGAGTGATGCAAGAAAATTATGAAAAACAAGTCAACAGACTGCTAAAGGAGGCCCAAAAAAATAGTGAAGAAAATAACACCTGAAAAAATAGCCTAACCCTAATGGCAAAAGAGGTCCAAATAGCCAATGAGGAGAAGAATGCCTTAAAAAGCAAAATTGGCCAAATGGAAAAGGAAGTCCAAAAGCTTGCTGAAGGGCTTAAGTGCCCACCCATGCAGCAATATTTCTCCAAACCAGACTAAAGCAGGGACTCAGGATAATCAATCTCAGTATTTACTAAGCACCATTCTAGAGGAGTGAAACAGTCACTATTGCCGATGAGTTTATATTCTAATGGTGGAAATGTATGTATAAAATACATATGCTGTATAAATATAAAGTGTCTAAATACATACACACACATATGTATTCATACACAAAGTAAACACAAAAGCTATTGGTGAAACAGGGTGAGTGGCTTGTGCATGAGTTTATCTACTAAAGCAGGTTTATACTATTAATAAACCCTGTAGTTGTATAGACTGGTCAAAAGTGGCCCAGAATGGGCAGGCACCTAGAGGCTGAGACTCCCCAATGAGGGAGATCCCTGAGCCAGTGTCCATGCCAGCTACATCAGCTGAGAATGAGGCTTTGTCTCCTTTTCCTTGAAATTCCAGGCACCTCCCTCCCTGACTACCTGTCTGTCTGTCTGTCTGTCTGTCTCTGTCTCTGTCTCTGTCTCTCTCTCTCTCTCTCTCTCTCTCTCTCACACACACACACACACACACACACACACACACACACAGAGGCAAAAGGTCACAGGCATTCATGCTCTGGTAGTTAGCATTCCACTCAGAGGCATTGAGACGTTTCAGGGAGCCTGGGCACTAATCTGTCAAATTCCTGGGTGGGTCATAAGAGCCACCTAATTAACTTTTGGTGGTAGGAGCCAAAATTCCTTAACAAAACTAAGTACCTGACTTTGTACAGTGAAGAAACCTTGTCCAGCCACAAATCTAGGCAGGAAGATGGCTTGGGTCTCATGTCTATTAAAAAGAGGCTCTGTGGGAGTTTGCCACCCAGAAAGCCCTGCTAATCAAAGAAGTTTGGCAGTGGTGAAGACAAGCAGGAAATGTGAACAATATCTTATCTTTGGCCCAAGGTGCTCTAGGTGATTGAATTCACCTGCTCCTTCCTAGAGCCAGGAGTTACGTGGTGGCTGAGTCTCAGCCCCAAGCCCTCCTTTCTGGCCAAGTAGCCCTGAATCAACCTCTATAAGAATGCCGGCATAAGGGTATTCTGTATAGGGAATTTTCTTCCTACAAATGTAAAGTTTTTTGTTTGTTTGCTTGTTTGTTTTTTTTTTTTTAAAACCAACTTTGGGGCTATCCATGACTGTGTTTACCTTTTTTTTTAAATCCTTGGAGCTCAGCACACAACAAGTGTTTATTAAATTCTTGACTGACTTCTGAAATTCAATTCAATAATTCAATAATAAATATGAAGCCCTCACCTTGTGCCAGACACTGTGCTAGACACAGACAGACACTGTGCTTAGTGCTAAGCTTACAAAGATGAAAATGAGATGGTTCCTTCCCTCAAAGAGCTTACACTTTGAGGAGGACAAAGTACACAGCTTGGTTATGTGGTGAGAGCTCTGGGTCTGAGGCCAAGAAGATCTGAGCCTAAATCTGGCCTCAGATACTAGCTAGGCGACCTTGGGTCTCACTTAACCGTAATCTGCCTCAGTTTCCTCATCTATAAAATAAAGATAATCATCTTCATCTACTTCCTAAGGTTGTTGTGAGGATAAAATGAGAACACATTTGTAAAGCACTTTGCAATCCTTAAAATACTATATAAAGACTGGTTATTATTATCAAAATGTAGAGAGTCTATACAAAGTGATGGGGGAAGGAGGTAACCACCAATGATTTAAGGGATGATAAAAGGCTATAGGAGGGGATATCTGAGATGAGCCTTCAATGGAGCTGGAGCTTCCAGGAGACTAGAGGGAAGGAGGAAAAGTATGCCAGGTATGGGGGTTGGCCTGGACAAAGCCAAAAAAGATAGAAAACAGAAGGTCACTTACTGAGAACAGAAGGTGGGCCAGTCTGGCCTGAACACAAAATGTATATGGGGAAATAATTCAGATAAGTCTGGAAGGATAGGCATCATCCTCTTCCTCCTCCTCCTCATAGACACATATAGTACTTTAAGGGCAGTATATTTAATAATTACATGCTAATAAGTTGTCTTTTGGGATATTCCCAGGAGCCTGATGAGGTCAGTGCTAATTTTACTCCCATTTTACAGATGAGGAAGCCTTAGCTGCATGACTTGCCCAGGGTCACATTGTTTGTTAGTTTTTGAGGCGGGATTATAACTCTAGGTGTTCCTGGGTCTTCTTGATCTACCCTGCCTCTAAATATCATTCCTTTCACACCTACTACATAGGTGCACAATACTGTCTCCATGGGGAAATAGAGATACTATTTGGTGTGTTATATATGGCCAGGATCACAAGTCCAAGTCAAGAGGACACTAACACAGCTCGGGTCTCATGATGCCCAATCTTTTAATTGCTGGACTCTGCTCTTGGTGAGGGAAAGGGTGTTGGGGAGATGTATTGTAGAGGTGGGAACTTCATGGGCAAAGGTCAACTGGTTCATGAGGCCCAGGTGTGAGGTCTAGGCTGGCAGCCACAGGAGCTGACTGTATCCTCCCAAAACTATTCAATCTAAGTTTGAGGGCAAACTTGTGCCAGGAAACAGGGAACGTGGATTTGGGAGTCCTAGGTCACAGGGAGGGGAGGGGTCAAGTTAGAAGCCAGAGCTGTGCGTGGGCAGAGAAGGTGGACAAGGATGGAACAGGAAAAGGAAGGAGAGGTCTGTCTTCAGGCAGAGCTGTGGGAATGGCGCAGACAGGATCCATGTCCTGAAAAGAGCCGTGGAGGAAAGAGCGTGACTGCCAGTCTCTACCACCTGGCTCCCAGCAGCTGATGAGACTAC